CTTTCTATTTTCTGCCATCACTCCCTGGGATTAAAGCCTCACTTCTTGGGATTAAAGGCGTGAGTCACCATGCCTGGCTGTTTCCAATGTGGCCTTGAACTCACAGAGATCCAGAGGGATTTCTGCCTCTGGAATGCTAGGATTAAAGGCATGTGCTACCACTGCCTATCCTCTATGTTTAATATTGTAGCTGGTCTCTTCTCTGACCCCAGATAAATTTATTAGCATGCACAACATTTTGGGGGACACAATGCCACCACAAGTAACTCTGCTTCAATTCCTGCCTTCAGGTTTCTGCCTTGGGTTCCTGCCCCAGTTCCCCTCAGTGATGCCGTGTGACCTGAAAGTTGTAAGCTGAAATGACCTTTTCTTCCTGAATTTGCTTTTGGTCATAATGTTTAGTCACAGCAATGAAAACCCTAAGAAAGACCTGAGGAGTGGAGCCTGCCTCTTCAGTCTCCTCTCCTTCCTCATCCTCCTGATTACAGGTAATGTAAAATTTATTATCTTGCATTTTTTAAAATGTAGTGGGGCAGTATTAAACCAATTGCATTGTGTAATCATCACACCAGCATCTAAGAACTTCGTTAACTTGCAAAGTAAACTGTCCCTGTCAAATATTAACTCCCTTTCCCTACCCTTAGCTCCTAGCACCCATCACTCTACTTTTTGTGGATGAATTTGACTCCTTTGTACCTTTGTGAAGAAATTTTTTCTTCAACACGATGCCCTCAGGAGTCACTTATGGTGAGGCAAGCACCAACATTTTCTACCTTAGCCAGGTGGTGGTAATGCACACTTTTAACCCCAGCACTTGGGAGGTAGGGGCAGGTGGATGTCTGAGTTTGAGGCCAGTCTGGTCTACAGAGTGAGTTCCAGGACAGACAGGACTATACAGAGAAACCCCGTTTTTGTTTGTTTGTTTGTCTAAATTTCCTACCTTTCCAAGGCTGAATAATACTCTATTGTCTGAATCTAGGATAGAGTTCAGTACTCAACCTCTTACTTCATATGTGAGAGTTGCCTGGGTTGAATCAATTTCATTACCACAGGGGTAGGGGGAAAGCCAACTTCTGTAAATAGAGGTTTCTGTCCTGCCAACTACTCCCAAATACCCAGCATCTGCTTCCCAAATTACCACACAGAGGCTTATATTAATTATAAATGCTCAGCTGGTAGCTCAGGCTTATTATCAACTAGCTCTTATACTTAAATTAACCCATAATTCTTATCTATGTTTAGCCATGTGGTGTTGCTAGAGTTTTTCTGGTCTTGCCTGGCCCACGGTCAGGACAAATCTCTCTCACCTGCCAGTCCCACAGCCGCTCAGACCCAACCAAGTAAACACACAGAGACTTATATTGCTTACAAACTGTATGGCTGCAGCAGGCTTCTTGTTATCTAGTTCTTATATCTTAAATTAACCCATTTCTATTAATCTATAAGTTGCCATGTGGCTCGTGGCTTACCAGTACCTTACATCTCGCTTTCCATGGCAGCAGCTGGCAGTGTCTCTCTGACTCAGCCTTCCACTTCCCAGAATTCTCCTCTCTCCTTGTCCCGCCTATACTTCCTGCCTGGCTACTGGCCAATCAGTGTTTTATTTATTAACCAATTAGAGCAACACATTTGACATACAGAACGTCCCACAGCAATGTGGCTTGGTACCTTTTCTCAGTTTGGAGTTCTCATCTTGCTTCCTCTGTATCTGGCTGGTGACTCCGCCCTTCTTCTTCCCAGCATTCTTAATTTGGTCGCCCTGCCTGTACTTCCTACCTGGATACTGCCCAAAAAGTATTTCATTAAACCAATTTGAGTAACAAATCTTTACAGTGTACAAGATTATTCCACAGCAAATGTCAAATATTCCATTGAGTGAGTATGACTGTTTGAATGAAGATGGCCCCATAGGCCCACAGGAAGCAGCATTATTGGAGGTGTGGCCTTGTTGGAGGAAGTGTGTCATTGGGGGCAAGCTTTGAGGTTTCAGAAGCTCAAGCCAGGCCCAGTGGCTCACTCTCTCTTCCTGCTGCCTACTGATCCAGATGAAGAACTCTCAGCTCTTCTCCAGCACCATGTCTGCCTGCTTGCTGCCATGCTTTCTGATAATGGACTAAACCTCTGAACTGTAAGCCAGTCAATGAAATGCTTTCTTTTATAAGAGTTGCTATGGTGATGATGCCTCTTCACAGCAGTATAAAACCATAACAAAGACAGTTGAGGGAAAAGGGCCTTATATGTTGTCTCTTGACTACTGGGCTCAAACTGCCTCTGCCTCCTGTTAGCTGGGACCACAGGGATGGGTTCCACTTCAGTCATCTGTTCATCTGCCTGTTGATGATGGCTTACTTCTATCCTCATGTGAACCATGCTGCAGCCCATGTGCGAATAAAATTGGCACTTCAGGACTTTATCCACAGCTAGCTGGGCAATCTTTGCTGTGGGGTAAGTTCCCTTCTCCTGGAGGCCCTGAATTATGTGGCCTTCCAGTTCCTTGAAGCCCCTGTGGTGATGCAGTTCATACCATTGGTCAGGCCCTGCTGGATCCTTTAAAGGTATCACATTCCAGAGTAAACTAGTGGTTTATATCTGGTTCCTAGATGCATCTGCCACATTTTGTCATTTCTTTAAAGGGTAGATGGTAAGCAGAGGCTGCTGCATGAGCTTCAGGGGCGTCACCTCCCCTCAGCTGCTTCACCTGGGCCATTGTCTCAGAGTTCTGTCACCCTCAGGCTGTGTCTGGTGGAAGGAGCGTGCTGGAGTTACAGCAAGGTGGGGCTGCATGCCTGTAATCTGGTAGGCAGGTATGTCATGGTCAGGGTGGTGTAGGCATGCATCTACCACAGACTAGGATGAGACGGGCTGTGAGAGGATGAGCATGAAGTAGCTAATTGAGTACCAGTAGAGCCAACTGGCTAATTGTTTGCTGGTAAATTCTTGCCTTTGTGGGTTCATTCGGCAAAATCCTATAACCTGCCTCTCACAGTTCCAAGCTCTGGAAGCAGCCACTGGGATGTGGAGGTCCTTTGGCTGTCTTAGGGAGTTCTGGGTAGGAGGTCTTGGCCATGGTGGGCATCGAGCTTTTCAGAGGCATTTAGAAGGGGTAAGAGGGAACCTTCCTGGGGAGGGCTAGTAGAGGCATTAGGACCCTACAGTGATCATGTACACGCTGCATTTGGAGAGAGGTCTTCACATGAAGGGCAGTGAGTGCAGGAACTCTGAGCAGGCTGTAGAGACACCAGAGTGAGTGGTGAGAAGCTTGACTCCCTTCCTTCTCTCCTCACTTGCCAGGTTCTCTTATCATCTCATGGAGCCCAGCTGGGCTCACCTCCCCAGCCCTGCACATGCACATAGCTAGTCTGGCCTTGTTTGGAGGAAGAGCCGCAGACACCAGGTTCTCAGGCCCTTAGATTGATGCCAGAGCCTTCCTCCTGCTTCAGTGTCTAGAAAAGGTTTTTAGAGCTTCCAGGGCAGTCCAGGGCTCCTGTTGGTGTCTGTGGGGTCTTTCTCCTGTAGGTCTGGAACCCTGAGGACATCCCAGAAACAGAGTCTGTGTAAATGAGTGTGAGTATGAGTGTGTGTGAATGTCTATGCCTGGGTGTACGAGGCTGGTGGTGTTTTGTCTGTTCAGCTCACAGCCTTGCATACAGCCATTGACATTCCACCTCTGTCCAAGAGAGGGCACTACCAGACAGAGCCATGTTAACCTCAGGATTCTGTGGGGCCTGGTGCCACCTAGTGTCCATCTCAGTACACAAAGGGGAAGTGGGGGCTGGTGTTCTGCCACCTCGAAGAGAAGAGGAGGAGGGAACACATTGAAGATGGCAGGGGTGAAGTCAAGCCCAGTTCATACATAGTGAGGCAAAGACGGATATGAAACCAAGGAGGAACCTTCTCTAGGCCTTCAATCCTTCCCCAGGGCTGGGGTGGGCATGTTGGATGCTGGGTAGGAGCCTGACATATGACAGGTGAGAACCTTTCCACCAGTCCCTCCCACCCTCAGTCTGGGACATCTGTAGTGGGTACCTCCTGCTGGCCAGCAGAGCTGAACATGTGGTTCCTGACTCCATCTTTGATGAGAAGACACAGAACGCTGGTGCTGAGAGATTGCAGGTCCAATCTCCCAATGATGCAGCAGTGTGGTACTACAGCGCCTGCCCTCCCACATCCTCCCTTTATATCCTAGGCCTTTGCTGCCCCTGGGAACCTATCCTCATTCCCTCTCAGAGCAAGAGTGACTGAGATATTGGGCTTAGTGTTGGTGGTGAGAGCTGTCCTCTGCCTGGGCACATGTGGGCCTCAGTAGACGGCCCTGGAGACCTTCAATCTCTCCCTCAGGGGATAATCCTTCATGGGAAAAGAGGCTCATTTCCCCACACTGGGGCCCATCAAGGATGAGCCATCCTGGGCGGGGTCTCCTGGGAACCCAGTCTAGGGCAAGAGAGCCAGGCTAGGGCAGCAATGAACCCCACTTTGTACATGGTTTGTCCCTCATGATGATTCTGGGATTGACCATATTTGTGACTATTGCTGGATTATCCATAGGGGAGTTTGGAGGGGCAGACACATCTCCTGGGGTCCTGTGTGGCCCTGGAGGCACACCCTGGTCATGCCTAGTGTCTCCCTGAACCTGAGTCCTCCGACCTCTTTCTGCCTAAATGTCCCTCCAGCTGAGGCTGTACCTAACCAAGCTGCTGGCCTGTCCGCAGGCTCCAGAAGCCCTGTGCAGACCTCCCTAGGGATCCCCCACCCTCTAGCTCTAGCTCAGGTACAGGGCTTCCCCCTCCTAGTTACTTTAAGTGAGACTTTCCTGTCATTTTTTTCAAAGCAGAGTCTTTAATGGCTGTTTAATATTCATAATTAGTATGTTAATGTCCCCTCCACATCTCTGAGCTCTCCCTATGTCTGGGCTATTGTCCTTCAGCTGTAGGATAACAATGCCTCGAGGTGCCTACTCGCTCCCTTGGGAACTCCTGGACATCAACCTTCTGGGTGAAGCCACCAGACCTGGGATGTGCCCTGGGCTGAGGAGCGTCCCAAGTCCCCAGTGTTCTCTGTTCACCTGTCTGCCTGCCCCTCCCCCATCCACTGGCTCCTGATAAGTGAGGTAGTAAAGGGAGATGGCTTGTGAGTTAGAAATACACTTTTGATGGGATTTACTTTATTATGTTTAATTGAAAAGCACTGAAGTTGGGTCATGAATATTCAGGTTGGAGTCTCTGGCAAGAAGCCAGTTGTTGGTGATTCAGGGACTCACCTCAGCATGGGGCCTGTCCAAGGGGGAGTAGTGGTGGAGAAGTTATTAATTGAAATAGCTTCATTAATTAGTAATTAACAGCAGGGTGATGACTATGTCACACGTCGTATTTCAGTGATGCCCTTCATGTGTTATGGGGCCTTTAATTAAAGGATGTGCATTTTAATTAAAGGCAAGCCTGGCCCTTTGGCCTTTGGAATACAAAAGACACCCTTGATTCAGTGAAGTTGG